TGTTGGACATGGTTTTCTGAAGTCATTTAAACCATCAGAAACACTATGTTTTGAATGTCTTTACTTCTGAGCTCCAAGGAAATACAGAATATTTAAGAAAGTATTAGGACTCTGTAGGCAACAGCCAACATGTCAAAACTGTTCTGGTGAACACTAAAATAGTAAATCCTTGAGCAGAGCTGCAAGACTGTCCTCTACTGCCTAATCCAACATCAAAAATAGGTTGTAGTCTAATATTCTAAAAATCATGTAGGGAAATTCAGCACAAAACACACAGCAATTCCTATATTCTTTCAATTTAGTAAAACTAATGCTACATATTTAACACATTGGATAATCTTTGATTTGCTAGGTAAGAATGGATTAGTTCATACTGTTTGGATTTTACTCTTTTTTCCTATATTTGATCATATTAAGTTGTTTAATTAAACCCTATAAAAACTTTGGTGTTATAGTGTTCTTATCAACTTTGATATTATTTTTCTTGTTATAGTTTATTTGTACTTAATTTTAAAATGTCAGTGTCGGAAAAATATGCAAATTTCTGATAGGCCTAATAAATAATTGTTAAGATTGTATCAATCCTGTTGGCAAAAAATAAATGTACCATTATTCACTTCTTTTAGTTTTGGTCTTTCTTTATTGATCTCTGTATACTGAACTACTAAGAACCCTGGACCAAGATTTGCATGCAGAATTTCAGGACAGCCCTGCATGTCATGGAGATATCTATGAATAAAAGAATACTAAAAAGTAAATAAGTAATTAAAATACCCTCTTAATATCTATAAAAATGTAAATGGACTAATTTTTTATAAATAGTATCCATATCAATAGTACCTGTTGTTCAATATAGAAAATATTTGAAGCAAGGTGAAAAGTACCTCTTGTCAGTATAAAGGGTGGGTGCCCTAAGCAGCCTTTTATATATGACTAACTGCCATCTACATAAAAAAAAAAATCTAGGTCAAAGAAAAACAGAAAGGAAGAGGGGGAAGGATTTAAGGAAAAATAAGTGCAAGCCCAGCATGGACAAGGCTTCTTTCTAATCCTGCCAAGAGCTCTGTTAGGATACTTGGGATAAAGACATTCTATTTCTAGAATGCAATATCCCAAGCTCATCTTTTCTTTTAAATAAGTTCTAGCTAGTCATAGTAAGCATGCCAATTATGTCATTATGCTATAAGTAATAATACAACTGCTTGCAAGAGACCATATAATACAAAACTATATCAAGACAAAAAATAAGGCCATTTATTTTTTTGAAAATGTTGGTTAAATCCGATTAAAGCATTTGTTAAGTATTCTTAGATGTGTTACTTATAAATTAAAGGTGAGGGGAAATATTTCAAAGTCATCACTAAACCTAGGTACTTTTAAATCCAGCTTAGAAACATGAATTCTAGACTTAGTATTGGTTCTTAATTTGTCATAGAATTAATATTGTTGAACTGTAATAGAATAGACACCTTCAATAGGTTTAAAACCTAGTAGTAATATAATGATAACTAATAATCTACCTGATGTCTTATTTCCTTTTTAATTGTATGCTTCTCTCTAGTGAAATATATATTACAATTCATTTTCTAGGAAAACAGGATTGAAATTTATGGCATTCATAAAAAAATTAGGATGACTATATTTCCATAAGTTTACTCAAGGGTAATAGATATTTTATATCAGATCAATGGGCTAATTGTGAGATTGTTGATAAAAATAATACATCTGGTAGTGTTCTTGGACTTATTCACCTGGTAAAATTCTGACCATTATGGTAGCAAAGAGATACTTGTTGAATAAATTAAGGAATAGATGAAAAATGGTTTTTAATATTTTTGGGGGCCCTGATAAGTCCTTACTGGAGAATCAAAAAAATTATTTGACTTATTGAGTAAGTGATTGGTGGAATAATAAAAAACAAAGTGAAATCACAAAAAAAACGAAGATGCAGCTTGGTAGATAGAAAAATATAGAAAATTGATTATAACAATAATAGAAATAATATCAGATGATGACAAAAGCAAAAATAAAAATAAAAATAATAGCAATTAAAGTTTTGACAGTATTTAAATCATTTACTATAGTTTTGAAAACTTTATTTTTGATATATTTTAGTTTTCATTTCAAAATGTGTTATGTAATATCCTAAACTTCAATATAACATAATAATATCTGAAGATGAATCCTGTTATTTTGACCTTTGCTTCTATGATTTTCAAGGAACATTAGATGCTTATCTAAGACTTCTTTTAAATGTAATTTTTCTTTTCTCTGTAATTGTCCAGGAGATAAAAAATATACATAAGGCTAAACAAAATACCAAATTTATTTTTATATCAATAATGACATCAAGAACATACTTTTCTTTATATGATATGGCATAATTTTAACTGATGTATAAAAACAAAATACTACATGTATTTGAAATTCTAACAAAATGTATGATTCACTTCTAATTCAACTTATAAGTTCTATAATTAAAACTTGGACATTTTATCTAAATTTGTACCTCATAAACTCCTTTCATTCTAGCAATAGTTCAATACCATGTCAAAATAGATTTTAATCATTTGAAATTCATTTGAATTTGGAGGTTTAGTTTAGAATTAAAATTGAATCTATTTTAATATTTTTCTTTTTACCTAAGTTTTTAGTTTTTTTTCAAATTTGAAAATGTTTTACAGAAAATATTTTAATATTGAGAATATGTAACGCATTCCACATTATTTATTTATTTAACAAGAGTAACTACATTATTGATTATTTCACATATGGTATTTAGCATTATTATTGAGTAGTATATCTACTAATTTCTCCTTAAATAAAGATTTTACCCTAAAAAAAAGTATTTGTGATGGTTTGTTTTCACATTGTTTAATAAGAAGCTGGAGTAGATTCATTTTCAAATCCATTCATTTAATAATTAATACAAATATACTGGTAACAAAATTAAATTAAAGTCACTAGAACATGGCAGAGCCCTTGAATCATGTTTTCAAATGGAATGACCTCGATTTATTTCTTTTGTATAAATCGCTACAGGTTGCCATATTTATGTACATATTAACCAACACAGGTTACTACAATTTAATAATATTCCTTTTGGTGGTTTATAAAAGTTGGATTTATAGAAATATTTTTTTTAAATTAGAAAGTGTATATATACATATATATATATATATATATATATATATATATATATATATATAATATGTCCCTATTAGGTATTAAAGCTAGGAAAGAAAAGAAATATTTTGGTATTTACTTTTGATTCTAAAGTCTCTGCTTGAGAGCTCCAAAAAACTACTGTTAGATTCAGCTACCTCAGAATTGTCTCAGGGCCCTTTCTCATTTATAGACTATTTATAGACTTACTTTTTGCCAATGTAATAAAGAAGAAGTGGATGCATGCAGACATCAAGAAAGGCTTTTTCCATATATTTGAGTCTTTTTAAATTTTTTTCTGTTTTACCTGTGTACTAAGGGAAGTGGTTGGTATTGGTCAATATAAAATGATATAATTGGTCTGAAGGTACTCAAAAATCAGAAGGCTTTTTTTTTTTTTTATTTTCATGCAATATGGAAAGAGTTGGAGTTAAAATGTTTATAAAGAAGCCTAAACTTCTATGGAATTTTAACAGGATCTGCCATACAGCTTCAAATACTATAAGTTACATAGTTCCAATTCATATTTTCTGGAAAATGCAAACAATAGTTCTCTGAAGTATTCAAATTTTAATATTGAACCAGTTATGCAAAACCAGATACACTTATATAATATTTGTGTATAAATATACCAAAAATATGTCAAAATATAATTCCACATCGATAATTAATTTCATTCCTTTTTAAACGGAATGAAAGAAATTTTTTTATTGTTAGAAAAAATACATGACTTTATCAGAAAAAGAATAAGTTCATGGAAGGACAAACATCCTTAATGATAAAAAGAATTTAAAATTATTTATTGAAAGAATTAGTATAATATGATTGAAAATAACAATTGTGTATTTAATATTGATTATAGGGCACAGAAGCATATGTAATTATACATCACAAGAATTTTTTCAATATGAAAAATAATATATACAATTCTAACTTAGTTTTGATTCAAAACTATTCTTTTGATATTTAATAGACTATAAAATTTCAAAGAACATAATGAGTATATGGTCTTCAGTGTAACAATAGAATTTTCAGTCCTGAGGCATAATTCGAATCTTCTTAAATAAGATCCAAAAAAAAAAAAAAGAAATGATATTGAAATGATCTATTAATTGCAAATTTGACAATGAGTTAAGCATGAATGAAAATTTTTGTAAATTTTCACCTCCAAGAACAATGAAGTAGGAAAATCAACGAAGATTAAGCTGTATCAAAGATCATGATCTTAAAAGTCATTAAAATGTGAACTTATATAGTTTAAGTTAGGCATTTGAAATTCTGATCCTATGATCTGGCACATATATTATCTTTCAGTGTCAATAGGCAATTTGTTGTAGTGACATATTTATTCTGTAAAAAAAAAAAAATGACAAGTTTTATGTAGAAAAACTTTTCTTTTTATATTTTTATATTTAGAATGTTTAAACCAGCCTTGGTCACATAAAAAGAAAGGGTCTCTTAAAATTATACTACTTTGTTTTTCTTTAGGACTGAATTATGAATTCAAGTTAGTGAAATATGGTATCTTTTTCATTCAAAATAAATAAGAAATTATTCTCTTACCTTAGTAATTTGGATTGATTTTTCAGTTCTAATTAGGAACAAAACAACCTACCACACTTATAGCTTACTGACAGAACCAGCATGCTTTTTGCCCAAAAAGGCAATAGAATACATTGTAATAAGTGAATGTGACTCTTAAAACTTCATTGTTATTTAGCACCCCATAGGAAATAAGAAAAAAAAGTAATAAAATCGATTGTGACTTTTGACAATCATTAGTTAGAAAAAGGAGGTAACAATTGCCAAAAAAATCACAAAAGTGAGCATGTTACCTGGCTATGACAAAGAGCACACAACTGACACCCAAGTAAGCCAGCAGAATATACATCCAGATATCAGGGGAGAGAGGATTCAGGAAGGAGAAGACGCCTGGGTTTGTACCATTGGGCTTGCGGTACAAAATACTTATTCCAAGTGTCATAAAGGGCTTGGAAAAGTCGATGACCTTCTCTCGAACGTAGGTAATAGCCAGTGGTGCAACTGCAAGGTCAGCTTTCTGTAGAGAGAAACATAAAAAGGAAGAAAAAAGAAAGAGAAAAATTGCTTCTAAGTCACAAGAGAAAACTCAATGACTAAATTAAACATATTTTACACTTAAATGATTTTTTCAGTAATGATCATGCTAAAATTTAAAGCATTTTTCACTCTGATGTTAAGCATTTGATTTATTTGCTACTCATTTCTATATGCTTCCAGAATAGCACATCAGCATTTCATAACTAGATATAGAAAAAAACACTATATAGGATGAAAAACTGGAGAAATTGTAGATTCATCACATGAACAATTATGCTACTGAGACTTTGCGTAATTACTTTTATTTTAAGCTCTAAAAACTCATTTAATATCAATTATCATTCTGAATATGTTGGTCAAATTCTAGTTGCAATAACTACATGAAAAAAAAATAGATAGGAATCAAGAAAGATTTTCTTGGGTTTGCTACCATGGAAGAGTGCAGTTAAAATTTTTGTCATTAAATAGTTAAAACATTCTTAAAATCATCCTTTAATATGATTCTGTTTACTACCCCTGAGTTTTATTTCTATCCCTCTAATTTGTCTTATATTATTTAATGAAAATCCTTGCAGCACTGCTCAAATCGCATTAGGAAATGAGTTTTTCAATTTTCACAAAGTTGCTAATTTTCCACGGTAGCTTAAATATGTTAAATTACTAATGCTTTTCACTCATCATGTTATAACCATCTGTCAAGGCTGAATTTATGCTCTAATACATCGTAAGAAATTATAATATTTTAAAATAACAAAGGCATCTATGATGAAAAGCTCTATTGCTACTTTCCTTTTATTTTCATAAACATACAAAACTTCAGAAAATAAATAAAATATGCATTTTAGGGAGCAGCAGAAAGAATTTAAAAAGAAGAAAATTAAATCACTATTCTTCTACATTGTTAAAAGACTTAGAGAAGAAACTTCCTTAAATTGACAAATAAAATTGTATTTATTGTTTATAAAAATATGTGTCAAAGAAACTTCTCTAAAATGCTGTTTGTTGACAATATTGTTCTGCATGTTTGTGTACATATGTGTGTTTTTGGTGTGGGTGAAGAAGGGAGCACTCAGATGCATGGAGACAGTCTTTGAGAGAATCTATGGAGAAAGATATGTCTCTAAAAACTAAGAAAAAAAGGTCCTGAAGGAAGACATTATCATTGTTATATTCATAAATGAAGAAAAATATTTATTTAAGAATAGTAATTGCTAATGCTCTTGTAGTCATTCACTGTGAAACTAGTACTGTGTTAAGAAATTCACATGAATTATCATATTTAATATTCACACAATCAACTGTTATTCTCTTTCTCAGAAAAGAAAACTGAAACCTTTAGAAGTTAGACAATGTTTTAATTGCCTTAGAGCTAAATTTGCATTAGGCCAGGATATAAATGCAAGCCACATCACTCTATGCCTTACCCATGCCATGCATTTCAGAAACCAGCAAAGGAATCATAAAAAGTCATCCATTAATTCATGAAATGGTGTGTAGATATGGAAAGGGAAAATATAGAAACAAGACTAGCAATTAATAAATTACAATTTCTGAGAATTTAGAGGACAGATGCAGTGTTCAGGCAGAGGGAATGTCCTCCACAAGAAGGAGACAGAAGGCAAGAAAGTAAAATGAGTTTTAAAAAACAAACAATTTTGTTAAAGAAGAAAAAAAGATAGATTTTGACAAAAGATGGGGAATATAGTAGTTAGCTACTATTTTGGAAGTTGAAAATAGAGTACAGTTTATCTATGTGCTACTTCACTCTGGCACCTCCTCTCCTCCTAAGGTACATGAAAAGCAAAATATCATCATACACAAAAATCTAAGTGAAAATGCTTTATAAATAGTAAACTTACTTAAATTTACAAATAAAATTATATCTATTGTCTACAACATGTTTTGAAATATATCTATATGTATATATATTTATGAAATAAATAAATATTTCTAACTAAGTTCTCTAGGCATATATTAAGAGGAGGGACTAAACATATGTCAAATTTCAAATTTACATAGCATTGCCTAAAGTAAAAATTCTATCCTAACTGTAAAATAGAAAAAAGGTTAAAACTTAAATAAGAAATTTAATTTTCAAGTATAAAATAATAGCCATTTGAAACAAAAGATATAAGCAAATCCTTTGAAACATCTAATACAAAAATAAATGGATAAATAATGTGTTACATCCACATAATGACATATTATTAAATTGTAAAAAAGAAATGAGCTATCAAGTGATGAAATGACATTAAATGAATATCCTAAGAGAAAGATACCAGTCTAAACGTTCTACATATTGCATGATACCAAATATATAGCATTATGGAAAAGGCAAAATTACAGAAGCAGGAAAAATAATCAGTGATTTCCAAGGATTCATGAGTAAAGAAGGAGTAATGAAAAGGTAGAACATGGCTCATTCTTAGGGTATTGAAACTATTCTGAAGGCTACTGTAATGGTTGATACAAGCATACATTAATCAAAAATCATAAAATTGCATAATACAAAGAGTAAACCCTAATATAAATGAACTTTAGCTAAAAATATATGTGGCAATATTGTTCATCAGTTGTAATATGCTATACTAATGGAAGGTCTTAATAACAGGGAAACTTTTTTTTCTGTATTGTGGTTGATGGGAAGGTGATATGGAGAAACGACTTTCTATATAATTTTTCTACAAGCCTAAAATTCCTCTAAAATTTAATTTATCATATCCTCATTTAGTATGACTTAAGAAATTATGCTGATTAGATAGAATTTGAATTTTACTATTAATTGTGATATGAGATTGATCAAATGTCAATTATCAAAAACAGTTTTTAATTGCACACTAAATATATTTTAACATCCAATTAAGAAATAAAGTCTAGGACCATCTTGAGCAGTGAAAATGAAAATTTATTTATACATAGTTGTATTTTCTATTAATAAGGTCCAACTTCATTACAAGTATCTTAATAATAAAATAATTATGAAATCTAATAAAAATTTTATTATTATATTAAATGTGTTCAAAAAGACAGTTGTGGTACTTACTCATTAAATGCCATGTTATTAAAGTGGTTAGAGATAAGAGCCTAATAGTACAAGTGAATAATCCAAAAGCATATTAACCAAAAGGTTAATATGATTTAATGAAAATATTAAGTAGTTATTTTTTTATTTTAAAGAATTATAAAATAATCTTGCCTTAGGAAAAAATTGACATTTTTAAAGGATCATTTCAGCAAAATAAAAAACAATAAGTTGTTCTATCTCATATGAATGATACAAAGGAAAGGGAGCACTCACCTCTAATTGACTGTGTCAGGGAAGCCCTTGGTGAATAATAACACTGGTATTTGTAGTTTGAAGTCTGAGTCTAAATTGGCCAAGCCCTGAATTGGAAGCATGGCAGAAATACGAATATCATAGTAATAACTAGTATTGTATACATCTTTTATGGACCAAGACTGTGCTATATTCTTTATCATTATCACTTCCATTATCAATTCCATTAATCCTTTTTACAAATGAAAACCCAGTGTAGTTCACATGAAATATGAGACTATAAGAAATTATTACCCACAAGTGACAGATTTACTCATTTCCCACAACTTTTCTCTACAATTATTTAAGCATTATGACAATTTTACTTCTATACTGGTTGTGTATTTCACTGACCAAAGTGATCCTCCCTTTTCTGTGATATCCAAATTCTATAGGATATACATCTGTGGTTTCCTTCTTCCTGTGGAAACTTCCGGAAGCTTCTGTCCACATTAATTTCAGTGATTTTTGATTGGGATAGCATTTATGAACTAATCTATAGAACTTAACATGGAAAAATGTTTTAGGTTGTGTTACTTCTGATGATTTTACATTGATGTCAGCCAATGTGATATGAGAGATTTGAATGTGCATGTTATTTTATTTGTGTTGCCTATGAGGGTATAAACACTTCACAACCTACAGGCATTTCCTTCAGTTAAAGTACATAGCTCTGAACTGAAGCAATTATAAGGCATCCCTCCCTGGAAATTTCATAGTTACCTAGGTAGCAGCTATCTTTCTAAATTAATAAGTATTAATTTATTATTCTAACTTTCTATGTGAAACTCTGCCAAATTGTTTTATTCATCTTTATGATTATAATGAACCGAACATCCCCAAGGCACTGGATGCAATCTGACACAAAGGAACTGCCTAGAATGTTTGCTGAATTCAGTTTCAATTAAACTTATTAAAAATTTCAAAAGAATTAAAGAAAAGTACTTAGAGAATTTTTAAATTAAACTTTTTTTCCAGTTTTACCCTAGAAACAAAATGTATTTCTATACTAATATAACTCTAAGTTTACTGCCCATTTAGGGAAAACAGAATAATTCTTTTTTAGTGATATAGCTAATATAGTATCCCATTCCTTAAAGTCTCACAGAATATTGGTAAAAACTATACAACAAATACATTGTACAAAACTTAGATAACAAAGTATATCTGCAAAAATGATGTGATGACTCCAAATATAATGATGCTATGAAAACCTTCTTTATGGAGCATCAATAATCAAAAAACACTATTATGATTTAGATATGAGGTGTCCCCAAAAGCTCATATATGGTACAATAAGAAGGTTCAGAGGAGAAATGATAGGGTTGTGAGAGCCATAATGTAATCAGTGAATTAATCCCCTGATAGAGATTAACTGAGAAATAACTAAAGTTGTGAGGTGTGTCTGGAGGAGGTGGATATTGGAGGTGGACATTGGAGGCATGGTTTTGGGGTATATTTTTTATCTGGCAAGTGGAATCTGTCTCTCCGCTTTCTGATCATCATGTGATCTGCTTCCCTCTGTCATACTCTTTCACCATGGTGATCTGGCTCACCTCAAGCACCAAGGAACTGAGCCTGCTGTCCATGAATTGAGACCTCTGAAACCGTGAGCCCTTAAATAAACTTCCCCTCCTCCATAGTTATTCTGGTGGGATCCTTTA